GAGGGCGAAGGGAGGGCAGGTGATGCTGTTGCATCTTCACAGCTCTGGTGCCTGAAGCGCGTCGCTCCTCTTTATTCCTTCAGACGCAAAGCCAGACGAGGCCCCCGCAGCGGCGAAGGAAGAGGCTGCCCTCATTAACGTGGGGAGGCTGAATGGAGGGAATCGCATAGACTACGTGCTGCAGGAGAAGCCAATAGAGAGCTTTAACGAGTATTTATTTGCACTACAAGGGCATCTCTGCTATTGGTGAGCCTCTGTATAACCATCAAAGCTTCAAATTCACGTCTGACGTAAGCAGAATGTGATTCTGCTGGCTGTAACGCAGACGTGGCGGGTGGGCAGGGACAGAGGAAGGAGGCCGGTGTAGCTCCAACACCACCTGCGTTCGCTGAGCGCCGCATCTACCCCACATGATACCATCACAGCTGTCCTGACAGAGCGGAGGGAACCATCCCCCTCTAATCCCCGTGTCCTCCTGCTCCAGGGAGTCGGAAGACACTGTTCTGCTGGTTCTGAAGGAGATCTACCAGACACAAGGCATTACCCCGGATCAACCTTTGCCAGGAAGCCACTGACCAACCTCCGCTGTTCTGGCCGCTTGAGGTAAGTCACCTTGCCGACACCTTCCTTCCAGATTTCCTGGGACACCTCAGAGTACACCCGGTCCATTTGAGGGAATGATATTCCTTCCTTAGAGCGCTGTGTCGGGTTTTCCCTTTGGCCTGTCAGCCTGCTTGGCTTCCTTCCGCTTATCCTGCACACGGGCGCTGTCGGGCACGAGGAGAGCTGATCAGTGAACTGGTGCTGCTGAAGAGAAGGGCAGCAGGCACTGCGCGTGGTTACGACCAGTTCGATCCAAGGGAACGGCCAGACACGTGGCCTCTAGTCCAAGGGTTCCCGGTGAAACGTTTCTTAGAGACAGGTGGATTTTGGTCTGCCCTAGCGCAGCTATTCCTACGTTCTCCTTTTGCTTTCTTAGATCCAATTCAACCGAGTACTCACCAAGAAAGTCCAGATTTCCTCTCTGCCTTCCTCTCTCCTCTGCTGCTGTGTCCCGCATGCTGCTTCCCAAGAACTTGCTGCTACCTGGAGATAAGGATGATTTTCCTCCATTTTGGGTAGGGGCGGGGGGAAAGAATATCAAGGGAAAACACCTCTGCTCAAACACACACAGCACTCGCCCCGTGACTCCCTGTGGCAACACGTACTTTTAACCCTCCACCTCAGAAGTTATCATACTAGCTCCTCTAGCACCGAAGCAGACTAGCTGTCCGGGCTCAGAACCAACATCAAGGGCCTGATTCTGCTCCTGGCACGGTGAGGAAACTCGCAGCTTATGACCTTGAGGAATAAAAGCCTTAAACGCGCACCGTGGAGAGAGCTATAGCAGCCTTGTCGAGCGGAGATTGCCGACTTCTCCCTGCCATAACACAGAGCACCAGGCGTGAGGACCGCGGTCTTTGGGAGGTGAAGCCCAGGGCACAGGCATCTGCTGTTAAGCGAGCAGGAACGCGTCTACCAGCCCTTCTCATCTCCCCGAATTGCTGCTGCATGCTTTGTGCACCCCTGGGCAGGATTGGCCCGTAAACCAGCTCCTGAGCGCGGCGCGTTTGTGCCCGCTTGACCCAGGTGCTCCTGCCTGCTGTAATACATCGGTAGCGACTTCTCAGCATCCTCACCCAGCCCGCGGCATCCTTCCCCGAGGCACTGCCCCCATCTTGGTAGGACCGCGGCAACCGTGCGGGAGGGAAGCTTCACCTCCAGATCAACCTGCAGCTAGACCAGAGGAAAGCAGCTGCTCCTCAGCAGCATCCGGGCAGTCTCGGGAGGGACAGCCCTCCCGGGCTTCGCAGGGGCACGGAGCCACGCTTCCGTCCTGCTGCAGGGTGGCTTGCAGGGTGACTACAGGGATCTCACACCAGCCAGGCTCCAGTCATTGGGTTTGGTTTTAAATACACGAAACACAGGGTCTGGACGCCGTGTCCCAACGGCCCCACTGAAGAAATGACACCAGCTCTGCGGGCAGCTCTGCCCGCAGCTGCCCATGGTGCGCTAGCTCTGCTCCAAGGGGCACGGGCCCAGAGAGCCCCCGGTGACCCCCCCCTTGCCACCAGAACCAGGCGGGCTGCTGGGGCCGAGGCAGACGCTTCAGAGAGGTGTCGGGCCGTTGCTGTGACAGCCTCTGGAAAAGCCAAACCACTGTCCCTCCCACCGACTACTGCCCTGCATGGGGTAAGGAGCCTTTTTTCCACAGCCTGTTCGTTTGTCCTCCGTTGTACGTTATTTGCACTATTTGGAAGGTTTTGTTTGCAGCCTACATCTCCCCCCCCCTCCAAAAGGAACAGAAGCTGTTCTTTTACCTGACTGCAGAAACATGCTGCTCAGTCGGCGCCTGAACTACTGATTGCTAAAGCGTCTCCTACAAGAGTAGGAAAAGGAACAGTCTTAACGAGGGGCACTCTCATGATCAGCTTTTTAAGTTATGCACTTTGTTAAAAAAAAAAAAGTTAAATACATTTTAAATGTTATTTAATGTCTTTTCCAGTAAAAGCCAAAATAAATAAGTAGATGACTGTGGTGTGTGCATGGCTGGGGGGAGAGGGAGGGGAGGGGGCTGAAGAATCCACACGTGCACAATTTTAGGGGAAAGCAAAGCTATTTCTGTAACTTCTGTTGAAGTTGCAGGGTCACAGAGGGCTTACGTGGCCCACGCTGAAGACAACGGGGTGGCATTTTCCTTACTGTCACGTCCTGAGCTTGGCAGGGGCACACGTGCTCTGCTACAGCCTCACCTTCGCTGTTCGCAGGAACATATAGACTTGGTCAAGAACACACGTATCTACGGAGGAGACTAGTGACAAATAACTACTTACAGGAGTCCTCCACAGAGCTGTGCCTTGGGTTTCTCTACCCTTCCATTGTCTGAGAAAACCAACCGTGGTGTAGGGAAACAAGCACCTCTGAAGGGATGCTCAGACACCATTTCATTTTCTGCTGATTGTCATCTCTTTACAACCGTATTAAAGCTGCAAGGGAAGAGATACAGAATAAACACCCGCCTAGAAACTGCGGCAGACACACCAAAGGAAAGGGCTGATACAGCAATAAACAAATCCTTGAAGTCAAGTTTTTAGTACCACAGCTCATTTAAAAAAAAGTAACTCCTTTATTTGGCAAATTAGAAAAAAATCAGGGCTAGCACAATACAAATAGCCACGACAGTAGTTCCAGCTTCCCTCTCCCCAGCTAACCCACGGTTGGAGACTGCGGCCTCGTGCTCATTGCTCCAGACCAGCTCAGCTGCGATTGAAAAGACGGAGTTAAACCCAGCGCGAGGAGCAGGTCCTGCACTTCGCCATGGGACAGCCGGGCTGGGTTGAAGGGAGACGGCTGACGGTGCTTTCGGGACCGGGCACAAGAACGCCCGCTGGATGGGGCACACCAGATTGTCACGCTTTTCCAGTTCTTGCTTCAGGACCTTTCGTACCCGGGCTGTGCTCCCTCAGGCTCGCACGCCGAGCGCCTCGCTCGCTTCGCAGCGGTCCCGAAGTAAGGGACGCCTACAAAATCCAGTTACACGAAGCGACATCGGCCCCTGAGCAGGACAACTTACCAGAACGCCGGCTGGGTTTCAGGTTCATCCTCATTTGAGCCGCTTCTCACAACCGACCTCCCCAAAGCCTTCCCCTGCCCTGGCGCTCAAGGAGCGGCAGGAAAGGTGCCGGCAGGACGGAGCCCGTCGCTAAATATCTAGGTGAAAGCTGGAAGCTGCAGGCTTTTCTTGGTGCACTGGCAGTTTGGATTTGTACAGAAACGGTTTGTGGCACATGGAGTCCATCAGAGGAGGGTAATACTGCCTGTAGCAGAGGTACGCAAGCACGAAGCCCATCGCTGAGCCAACCAACACATCTGCGGGCAAGACCAGAGCAGAGTTAGCTTCCCTTCACCTTCACAATCCTCGTCGGTGAATTCTCCAGCAGGCAGTTCAGAGCTGAGCTGCATCAGCGACTTGACCCTCAGCTACAAACTAAGCTTGGCCCTATATTTCAAAAACAAAGAGAAAGGCATCATCACCTTGCAGGCAGCAAAAAAAATTACCACCGGAGGAGTAATTAAAAACCACAAGGTGCCACCACGGGCTCTGAACTCCCCTGTGGCACCGCGGACCCCCCCCCGCGCTCAGAGTGCCCCCAGCCAGGCGTGCGGGCAGACGCCGACCCACCTTGCCAGTGGTGCTTGTAGTCGCCGGGGCGGGACACCGTAAAG